ATGTTGGAGTTCAGCAATCCAGGCAGCAGCGTAATACTAAAGTGTAAAATCAAAAGGGTTTGTCCTCTCTTCAGTCACGTTAGAATGTCTCTACTACTACTGATTGATAGACCAGCATGGGACATCCGCGTTCCTCATACTAGCATTTTCTTTCCTTACGCTCATCTTAGAGATGCTACCTCTACAGTACACAATTATATGTTTAGAAGTCAAAATACTAGGGGGTCCAGCTGGATGTATGTAATAAACCTTTGTTTAATTGCAAAAGCCATAGGACCAGCCAACATTTTTGGTTCATTTATATGCTGCAATAGCTTTCTCACTCTCTCCTGGGCCCAGACATCTAGCCCACAAATATATTTAGCTAATAGGACACAGCAAATATGTCCTTCTTCCAACCACGCTTTCATTTTTTTCATGCTGTTAAACATTTGTAACAGTTTCCTCATTTTACAGTGATATCAGGAGTAAAATTCCCAGATGCTACACCTAAGAGTAACTCACGCTCCCTCCACTTCTTTAAGGCTCATGCGGACGGAGCGTTCAGGGTGGCAGCTTGCCACCAGTACATACAGATCTTTTAAAAAGCGTTGCTGAAAATATACATGAAATCCACGACTCGGACTCCCCGAAAAAACAGTCGGCAATACTGAAACTCCTTGCTGCAGGACTGATCAGTATGGCAAAGACCAGAGCAAACCAGCGAGCCACCACACATCTATAAGGTATCGGTTTTCAGCCAGCATCACTGAAAGCTTCTTGAACAAGAAGTGCTGGCCGAAGCGTGGACTGGCATAACTGCATTTACAGTGGGATTTTTCTGCAATTACAATAGGATTATATAAAAAAATAAAGGGTCTGTGAACCTAACTCAATCTCCTGGATAAAGTATTAGCAGTTGTACAGCGACTAATAAGACCCAAACGCTACTTTTGTAATGATGGTTTTAAAGCAAGAAGATACAGCTGCTACATGAGACTTCTGCAGCTGGGATTGGTGTGAATTTGTGGACATTCAGATCTACGTTTGGCAGGACAACTTCTGCATTTAGACATCAAGAAGCTCACCTAAAATGAAAACACGGCCAGTGCGTTTTGAGAAATATTCGCTTGAATGAGTCTGAACAAAATGCATGAAATGCAGCTTTGGAAGGGGACAAAGAGAAAGCTCAAAGCCCAACCTAGCTGACAGGGAAATACTTTAAAAGCAGGATGCTGTTGATTAGACTGACAAATGACGTTCTAATCTGGGTAAACAGACACCGCCTGTTCTCTGTCAAGGTTACACCGCTTTTTAGCAAATAGGAACAAAGATTTCATTGTTCACGTTGAAGCACTGCCAGCTCCTGAACAGGAGACTTTGCTTTTCTAAACGGTGTTTGAAAATTGGTTTTAGATATGATTACCCTACCTGTCCTTCAAACACTAATCACGTTTCAGCTACAATTTCAACAGAATCCACAGCAGAATACGTGAAACCTGCTGTTTTCAATGGTACGTGTTCAAACTGCTGGTGCTGGTGAGGCACTCTTCCATGCTGGGAGAATTTCAGACCCTCAGGTGTGACTTTCATACGATTTGTGCTTAATCCCTGCAGGGTGTTCACCTGGGCTATAGATCTAGGAAGGGTATGGACTCCAGTTTACAGCCACCTCCTCCACTTGTGATAGAGAACAGACATTTAACTATGTTGTCATACTCCCAAATTTAGGAGAACTAGGAGTTTGGAGACAAAATTAATTTAAAAAACATCAATTACAGAGACATCTATTTGTTTTGATTTCTAGCAAGTACTCAGGATTTGGCCCTAAGTGAACATTTGTCTTAAATGTTATGCTCTCCATCTCCAGGGGCAGGGAGCAGGAAGACAACACTTAACAGCACAACATTCGGGTGATTCCTAGTTAAGAGTTCATGTGGGACAGTGAAAGGAAAAAAAATCATAGTCCAAGGTTTTAAAGGTACAGGGTACTAACACACATTAATTTTGAAGTCTTTCTGATAGGTTCTTAGACAGAGGAGGAAGAGTCAAGACCTTGACTACCTGAGACCATGCAGGATCCAGAGCTGCTGGGGAACAATAAAAACTCAGGGTGGAACCAGGAAGCAGCAGCAGCAGGAGGCTGATCCTGTTCTTCAGGTGACTGAAGTTATGACAAAGCTCCTTTCCTTGCAGTGGATTAGGATTTTATCCTAGGAGGGGAAGGAAAATCAGAGGGCGCAAGGAGTTGCAGGAAGCCAGGTTAGAAATTCAAAGAAACAAACCAAGACTTCAAGGTGCCGAAGCGATGGGTTGACACGCGCCATAGTTTGGTTTTGTACTGCTGCAAACTTACGTACCTCCTTAAGCAAAGGTTTAGAGTTTAAATGGAAGGAAATAAGCAAGCTGCTCACATCAACTTTCTCTTTAACAAACATTCCTGTGAAACTCCCATCTCCATTCAGATCTGAATTTGAAACTCCATTGCCACTCAGCTTTGCAAGAGACTGTTCACCTCTTTGTGCAACAGTGAAGAATAAGATCGAGACTGTAGCAACACTTAGCGGACAGTTGGAAAATCCATGTTCCTTTTAGAAGAACGTTGCTACAAAGAATTCCCTCTTCTCTAAGGAAAACATTTTTCATGCTGCTTCAGCACAACTGGCTGCTAGAGTTTGGAGCCAGTCCACCCATCCATCCTACCAGACCGGGAAGTATCTTAAGCATCAAACGATAAAACATGGTTCCAACTCTCGCTTCAGTAGTGCCTCGTTTAGCCTGATTTTAAAGCATGCTGTAAGTTAGTAACTTCACTGAAGGCAGCGTGCCATTTCACATACAGACCTGAAGGGAGCCGCAGCCACTTGGGAGTGTGACAGTGACGGCGATCCCTCTGGTATCACGTACTCCTCAAAAAGCACTTTGCAGAGCAGAAGGTGAAACTATTGACAGGAAAAGGAAAGAAAAAAGGAGGGAGGGGGAGGATGGGGATCTGTTTAAAAGGCAAATCACGCCTCCCAAGAAGGTAACACCTTGAATATGCAAAAGAATTGACACCTTCTCATCCCAGGAGCTGTCCCACGCATCAGAGAAGCCCCACGTAGAACTGGGACACCGGGGTATGAAGCCTCCAGTGCAGACTCCAGCACCCGAGGCTTCAACCTACCCTAAATAAAACAAAGCTTACAGAAAGGCATTTTTGGGGGAGGAAGGAAAGAAGGGACTGTATTTCATGGCTTGTAGTTTCACCACCGTAAGAGGAGTGTTACACACAATGGAACAGGGGGCTGAGGGAGTCTGGAAAGAAGAGTTAAAATGAAAACGTGTGGGTCACAGCTCAAAACCACATCAGATCCGAATTCCAGTGCTAACAAAAGTGTCCCTGCCACATTTTGTTGACTAACCAGTGTTAAGGGCACCTCTACAATTTATTTTTATTGGCATTTCAAGCCGTCTTGCAGGAATGTATATTAGAAAGCTGAAAAAATTGAGAGCTCAGGCTACATTTCTGAATTAAAGAGCCACTTTTCCAAATACTTTGCCAAATACCACCCTAACACCTAGAAGCGTGATCCCATGATCCGGCTGTTTTCCCATCTATGTTAAATGACTTTACATGTGGAACAGTGAAAACGTTCACTGCAGGCCTCTCATTTTCTCACTTATTCCTCATAGTAGTTGTCAGAAGAAGCCCCTCACTGCCAAGTTTCTGGAACCCACAGAAGGGCCTCATTAAGGTGAAACATTGTCAAAAAGGAGGAAAGACCGCTAAACATTTTGGAGGGAGAGCTGGAACCAGCAATACACAGGCTTATCTTCCCCACAGCTTAGAACAACCTTCGCAGTCCCAGGGTGCAGGATACTTGAATTTCCTTTTAGTTCACACTAGTGCAGAGAGAACCCCAGGAAAATTCCCTCGAGCCAGTGAAGCTTCCTGTAAGCGAGCAGGTTAGGAGAGCTTACCTTCATTGAATGACATTTCGCTTGTGTCTACAACTTCTGGTCATCAAACACGCAGGGTCTGTTACGTATTCGAAGAGCAAGCAAAGCGAAACCACACTTGCAAAACAGGTTCCCTCCAGCGTGGCAGCTGTAGTTTTTGTTCTGCTCCAGTACTCGCATCGCCCCGCAATTTGCTGGATCTAGTTTGATCCTGACAATTGGAAGTCACAGTAGCATCACATCGGAGCATAACCCATACCTGAAACTTCCCAGAGGAGCTTCTATCATCTGTTCAATTGGCTGGTGTTGCTTAGCTAAAACACTCTCGCTTTTGAGCAGTTAAATTGTTGTCACGCACTTCCTGCACTTTGCAGGCGTGCTTGCACCCCAGTCAAAAGCAATGAAATGGTTAATTAATCCAGGTTAATAGTACTAGCAGAGTCTGCTACAGTACTGAAGGTAAGGAAACACAGCTGTACCGTGCTGGTGCCTACCATGTCCAACAACCAACATTTCGCACGGGAAGACACTTCCCATCCGCATAAGTGGAATATTCTTTACTGCTGAATATTATTCTGCACGAATAGCAGAAAGCTAGGTTAGAAAGCACATTTAAATCTTAACTGGTTTTGGTTTTTTTTCGGAAGTAAGAGAGTCACCGAAAGAATAAATCCTTTTAAAAAAAAGGTGGTTAATTTTGAACAGTTTTGCTTTATCTTTGCGGTATCAGCTACAGCCAGTGCACCCAGGGCTCTGTAACAAGGTGGCGACGCTGAAAAATCAGGACAATGCAGAAACAACAGCCTGCTTATGTGAATCTAGCACTAGCGCTTATGATTAATGTTACACTTAAAAAAATACCACCTTTGTTTTCAAGGTAGCTTGCTATTTGTTAATAGCATAAATATAATAACGGAAAACATAGCGAGGTGAGAAGCTTTTTGACTTTCCTGTACCCACGCAAGAAAAAAAAGTAAGAATGTTTTTATTAGACTGAATTGTGCTGCTATGCTACACTACTAGCATACAAGAGGGGTAAATGAAGACAGACGTGCACTGTGTATGAGATCACTTACTTTATTTATTCAATTCTCAACTTAATTTTGATGCTAAAAATTGGTCAATATGACTTCAAAGAAGGTACTTAAGAAACAAATCCTTATGGTGATCAGTCCAGACAAGTCACCAACTTATTATACCTGCCATTAGGGACACGACTACCTATAATTGCAAAGTGAAACATTCACAGGTTTTAAGTGGAGCATACTGTCCAGCAGCAATATTCAATTCTTTTAGAGCATTAATAACATTTGTGGAATATTTTAAATACAATATGGTAAAACAAAGCAAATCACACTTTTGGAGTTCCACAGAAGTTTTTCTTGACAGAAAAAGGACAAAATTGCCTTTCCAAGTGGTCCTGTGTTGAGGGATCCATTTTCACCTCTGCGTGCACTATCAACATCAGTAGCAGGTACATCAGAGAAATAACCTGCACTTTTCTGTCGTACAAAGATAAAACACCCTGCTCAGATAGCAAACTGTTTATAAGAGGTCTATCAGCTACTCACTAAAATTTATACTTCTGGAAGTGCAACAGAACAACAAATGGCAACATGTGAAGAAAAAGCGATTTTTAATGTATACTCCCACCAAAGCAAAACAAAGAAAGTGTCCTTAAAGGTAAAAGGTACTGGGGAAAAAGCTTCCGCAAAATGAGAGATGGTGCTAACATCACCAGTATTTAACCTCTTCAGTAAGACCAATATAGACTGCAAAAATTAATTGGAAATTAAAGAAGATTAAAATTGGTCTTTTTTCTGCAAACAAAGATTAATACTAGCTCTGATTAAGAACAGTGATCGGAAGGTAGATTCTTGGCAGTCTCATTCCTTCTGAACTAAAAAACACTTAACGCAAGGTTAAAATGTTACTCTGTTACACTAAGTGACATTCCCACATCCAAGTGCAAACAACTGCCGCCTAGAAATTTCAAGAAAACTAGTTCAAAATTTTTAGACGGGTCATTTAAATCGCTACGGTGCCAATGGAAGCTTTTATGTTTCATAAAATTAAGAAACCTCTTTTAGAAACAAAATAAAACAAAAATCACAGAGCAATAATCGGTATAGCCTAAGAGAGCCTATGTTGCTGTGCTTCTGCAAGGTCTATCCACCCGAAATACAGTAGCCTCCTTCGGCTGCAGAAATACTCAAACTCAATAAATACCTCCTCAAAGCACAAAGACCTGAGAGTGAAATAACAAACTACTAATGGTAGTGTAATGTGGTACCTGAAAATGATACTAACTGTTCACATTCCAACCTTGTCTACTGAAGCTTTTGAAGGGAGTGAGATACAAACCAATTATTTCAGAGGTATCAGCTCATTGTTATGGCAATACAATTCTACAGAGAACAACAGTCCTCTGTTATAATCACAGAATGTAAAAAACGATACTTTTCTAGCCTGTCTGGAAGGAAAAAAAAATACTTTGCAGTGCTGTTAGAAAGGCAAAAGAAATAGATTCAAAGGCCTAAGAGCAAGGACACTTTAAAACAAAGCAAGAACGATGCTTGAAGAAAAGGCTACTCTTATTTCTCCAGATAGGCCACCTATATATCACAAGGTAGTACGTTCTTAGCCTTATTCCCCCCAAGAAATGGAACTTGTTCCTTTATTTCTCCATTCCCTCTGAGGTCCTGCATGTTTTGTGGAAAGGGACATTCCTGCCCCACTCTGCTAAACCCCCAAGCCACAGCTGGGCAGCAGACAAGAATTAGAACTGCTGCTGAGAAAAGGCTTCACCCTGAGCTCAGCAGTGGCTGGTTTGACTTGCCACCTCAGCAACCAACCCATGTGGAGCTCAAACATCTCACTGCCTGCTTCCTCTTCTCCACCTCAGACTTATGCATGATGAAATTGAAAGCCCAAAGACAGGTAGTCAGGATAGTAAGGAAGGTGAAGAGGAAATGATGTTACTTCACAGGGCAGCACAGGGCAAACAGGACACAAATCTGCAGAAAATACGCAAGATTAGTTCTGCCTGTTGTGGAAGAAAATCTTTAAATCCCCACGGATGAACTGAGGAAGAAAGCAGTTTCAATGGAACCGTACAGTAGTTCAGTAGATCTTCTACATGCGCTGAATTTACAAAAAGATTAAGTTGGGATCTTGATTTCATTTTATAACTTCCTTAAGTATCCCAGAAAATTTTAATTGCATGTTTGAACAATGCCACTGGAGTTATCAATACCACACAGATTTCACAATATTATTGGTTTGTGTTGCACATGGGATAAACATTTAGCTCACAGAAGGAAGCACCTCTCAGCATGGTACCACCCATTCTCCTCAGACAAGCATCCCTCTGACTACAGCAAACTGGAGACTTCTTCCCTTTTTAAACAAATAACAGTTATAATTTTCTACTTAAGTCAATTAACATAAAATAAAGCTCACATCCCTTTCAGTACTTCAGAGTACTTCAGTCGTGCTCATAAAAGACCAACAGATTTAACCCTGCAGGAACTATTCATTTAACTAATACTTGATATATGAACCCAGCCTATATTCAGGCAGAGAAGATGTATCTAACACTTCAACTCCATGAGATATTTCAGTAATTGCCATCACGCTGCAGAGCAATGGTCAGAAAGGAAGTCATGACCCTCTACTGTTGGACAACAGATAGAACCCCAATCTGTACAAGAACTCTCTTTGGAAAAAAATTCCAGTACTTTATGGTAACATCCTCTTCCAGGAACATCCTGAAGGACAGCGGTAGTAAATAAGGCTGTCTGCTACCAGTATGTGCCCTTTCCAAAACAATGACTGGAGGTAATTAGGTTATGTCCAAATTCATCAATATGATGAAGGTGAAAAGTGATAAAAAGATGAAGAAACCTTTGTTCAAGTGTGGAATAAAGACACACTACAGGTCAAGCTCAACCCCATCCCCCACACTGCTATTCACTCAATTTGAAAAAGAGAAAACCAGAAAGTTTTACGTTAACTATATAAAACATAGGCTTGGCCTCTGAAAATTTTTCAGTAATTCAAACACCTATTTTGTCCCACACCAAGGAAGTGTTTTCAGTTAGGAGGCTGAGATACTCATAAGGTAGTGAAGAAAGTTAATGCACTTTGAAAGATTCCTGCATTCAGGCTAGCTTACCCAAATAACTATATACTTCATCTTCAAAAAGAGTGAAATAAGGATCATTTAACACTTTGTTCCGAAAAAGGTAATAAGAAGCAGATACAGAAGAAATTTTAAAAATGGAGGGGAAAAAAAAGGTTCAGAAAAGTGAAATTAAGTACTTTAACCAAATAAACTAGATGTGTAACAAATCGGCTTTGCTGCAGTTTTAAAATAGGACTTGTTTGTATCTGTAAAATTCTAATGAATCCCACAATCTGAAAGTACAGTGACGTGAAAATTAAATGGAAACAAACTAATTATAATACTGGCTGAAACCAAGTTGTTATAACGCCACTGTAACTTTGCTAAGATACTATTCTTTCTGGTTTACGTGGAAGGTGTGATGGAAGAGAGACTTTATTTCAAAAAGCTTCTACCTTATCTTATACTGAGAAATCCTGAGATGAATTTTTATATCCATTCAACCAATAGGATAAGTTAATTAAAAATAAAAGCCACAGGCAAATATATAAGCAGCTTGCATCACCTCAGCAATTTAAACAACAGTAACTATTTCTGGGTTTCTCCCTAAAACAGTAGTGATCCAACTTCGCATTGTTTTGTACAATAGAGACTTAGAATTTTTTAAAATATTTCACAGCAGTGAATTCCATTTCTGAAACAATTCAGATTAATCTTTTGGGCGGATCTCTGCCTATTCGTAATAACCAGCCTGTTGTTACGGCAAAGCAGATTTGAGACTCTTATTTTCACACCTCTCCCTTCCTTTTAGGGCAAGGTACACACAGTAACTTCAAGATACAGAGAATGCTAGAATAAGCCATCATGAAGTATTTGACTGTGCAGCATCCAATCTCTAAAATTAGAACTGACCTAACAGAACATCTGGAAGGAAATAGAGGAGAACAGAAGAAGGAACAGAAATACTCTAACAAGACATCTTTGAACCCGTCCACTGTTTTTTATACAAACTCTTCCAGATATTAGCGTACCAGAACAACCTCCTATTGCACAGCTTTAGGGCCCCAAATCTTCGTGAGCAGGGCTGCAAGGTCACACTATCCCAAACAGTCAGAGCCAGCACCGGACTGTTGTACACAGACAGCAACAGGAAGTACTGCCAACGTGGTTTTTGAAATAAGAATCGCCATGAGTAATTTCAGTCCACAAGCTTCATGCAGGAGTTTGAGGAGACTCTTATTCATTGTACTGGCTTCTTTTCGCTTTCTTCAAAGTTCACTTAATTCTCAGAAATTTTTTGCTTTAGCTTTTGATTATCCTCCTCTGCTTCATTTTTGCTCTGCTCTTCTGGATTCTTTGCCGAATCAGGATTGTACCGATACAAATACCCATACGGACGGAGATGATAAATCAAATATTCCAAATGATACATAGTCACGGAATCAACATAGTGGAATGAAACTGCTAGATCGGAGCAGCATCCGGGACCCTAAAATACAAAACAAGGCAAAATAATGAGCAAGAATTGCAAAGCATGCCCTGGATTAAAGATCCAGGAAGAATTCAAACACGTACTTGACTTCGTGTTGAGAAATTCACAATCATCAGTCCTTCATATACTTCAAAACTTAATGTTAGCCAAGCAAAACGTATCAGACATCTGCCAAAGCATCTTTCCAAAATAAAGTTGGAGAAAGTCTTTTGCTTCTGTAATCAAGCCAGTGAAAAAACTAGCTGCCCTCATTAATGTCAGAGGTTTTTTGCTTTTCTGTACTTCTTTTTTTTATGCTGGTGTTTAAACAAAACCAAGAAGCAGCAAGCAGGTCTAAATGCATTGCATTTATATATGAAACAATACATGCTTGTTATTCATGACAGCATCCATCCAGACTATATACGCCAAACATGTGCACACACGCACCTGTGTGTGTGTTCACACATTATACAGTTTGGCAAAATTGTCAGTATCTAACTTCCTACATATAGAAAGCTGTAACAAATAATTTTGGAACCATTAACTTTTTTTTTTTATGTTTATTAATTTCATTGACATTATTAAGCATTTTTAAGAGCTAAAGGATCATTGTTAACACATTTGTTACAACTTGTTTTTCCTAGCTCAAATTTGGCTTTGAGAGCACTTTTCTGGAAGATAATTTGGGGGGGCTCATCAGGTTTGATTGCAGAGCTGCTATTATTCCATCTCTAACTGGGACTAAGATTCAACATTTAAAGACATTGAAGAGAACAATTATTACATTGAACGAATACGAGAAATATTTTTTCAATACTTACTAAGTTTGACCAATATAACTTGGTTTTGACACCAGATGAAGCAGTCTCTATCCAAACACAAATATGATAGGACAGGATCAAATATGCGATTTCCATTATTGATCCTCACCACCACTGTGTCAGTTACAGATGTAACTGTCCACAGCTCAGCCCCCCGTGAACTGCAACCATAGCTAAAGCTGCTGCATCCTGACACACTAAATACAGTATCATAGCTGTTTTAAGCTACAGAAATGCTCTAGCTGCTTAATAAAAGTATAAAAATAGATGCTTTACAATGAAAAGAGTCTACTGAAGAACTAGACTTTTTTTTTTCCAGCTTTACTGTGTAAAAAATCCCACATCCCATCCTTGATTTTGGCCACTTATGCTGATCTCAAAGCTTGCTGAAAAATAATACCTTTAAAAGTGAGATTATAATCCTAAAAAAGAAGCCACATCACAGATTACATGATCATCGAAGTTTACAATGCAGAATACCTTCAGATCGCTTTAATTTCAAGTAGCGCCCTGCTCCACCCCCTTTTTTTTTTTTTCTCTTTTTTTTTTTTTTTAACCCAGATTTCAGATGTGGAATACGAAGGATAATCTGAAGTTCTTGCAGTAAGAATGTTTCAGCTTGTAAATGCTATTTTTGTTGCTACAACAAAAGAATTTAAAAAAAAAAAAATTAGCTTTGCCAGCTCTCACACTTGCCTCTACTTCTACAGAAGGTAGACAAGTTCAATACAACTACATAAGGAAATCGAATCATATTTCCTTGTTTGGGTCTTGCTTTTATTTCACTCCTAGGCAACGTTCATTCTTCTGTAGTCTTTTCAATGGAACTCACATGTAACCTTCAATAAAAAAAGTGAGGGCAGGGCAGCTACCAGCGTTCAAGCCAGATAACACTGCACACAGCTATCAGTGATAAGAGAAATATATTGCAGCACTTCATCTGGAAGGAAAAAGACTAGCAGGCAGTACAGTCACGCATACCATTACCCACCAGCCCCTCCAGTAACTTGGGAATCTCCTAGCCAATGTTAACCAAATACAATCAAGAGCAAGCCTCAAAATTACTTCTATTTCTACAAGTTTTATGCATAGTTTGCTCTTGAGTAGAAGATAAAGGTGTCTCAGTGCCACCTCCCCTTTCAGTAGGTTTCAGTGTAACTAAGCAATACTGCTTGACCCGGCTCTGTAACAGTCAGCACACACAGCTTGGAATGAACCACGCTGGTCTTGCTTCTCACTGCACGCTGGTAGTTGGGTGGCTGGAGGAGAAGCTAGGGACCCTGTGTGTGAGATATGAGGGAACAAAACAGAACAATAACTTTGCAAGGAAGGTAGTAGTGGTGACACCAGACAAACATGTCAAAAAGGTTTCATCATTTTTTGCTGTCCACAGAACATAGCAAAACTGCAATAATAATTTAAGATTCGCTAGCTCTTCTGGAATGTTTAGTTCTTAGCATCAACTTCTAGTTGACGACTAGTGTACTTAACACATCTACACACAGGTGTTTCCCAGGATATCACAACAAAATTTTCTTTTCTAAAATACACTGAGCTGCTACTAAACTGCTAATTCACACATCATACACATTCATACACATCATAAGATATAATTCATAAAATGGCTATCAGGTTCCTAAGGACTTACCTCTACAGCAGGATAATAATTATAATTCCAGTACCAGAATGTTTTTGGTAGGTATCCTATGATTAAGTGATGTTCTGGAATGAAGGGATGAAAGGTTTCTCTACCGCTTGTATCCCTAGAATCTCCTGCTTCCACATTAATGATCTCCATGCATTTTCCTAGCGCTAGGTCTTCAATTGAGGAACTGTGAGAGCATTTGTTCGTTTTAAATGCAGCAACAAATCTCTTCAGAGCTTCTTTGCTCAGAACATATCCTGCTCCTCCACTCATGTAGCCCTGTTTCACATAAGGCTTAAACCTTCTTCCAAAGTATATTGGTTGCTCAGGACTGTATTTTGAAAGAAGCCATCTCAAATTGTCCAATATAACATATGTATCATCATCTGCTTTCATAAACCAATCGGCATCATCAAAATAATGGTCATATACATATTGAAAAGCTTTAATAGTCTTCCAGTACAGTTGGTCCCTGCCTTCTTTGGTTTCTAGGCCCACAGTTGGGAAGTCTTTATTTTCCTCAGAGCTCATAAAAAGTATTTTATTACAACGTTGGGCCCAAGTGGCCTTAACATGCTTGGCTTTCTTTTCTAGATTTTGAGGTCCAGTCATGACCCAACACAGTATTTTCACCTTCTGATACAGTCCCTCTGCAATATTTTTATTCTCATCTAAAAAAAGAGGAAAGTTCCAAAACAATATTAGACTTGATTGCAAAACAAACGTTAAGAGCAACCTCCCCCAGACATTCTGTTTCTAGATCAGAGAAGACATACAGAGAGAGAAGAGGCATTTGCTTCCAAATGTACCAGTTAATGAAATTGATGTTAGATTTAGGGAGAAAACAAACAAGACTCCCCAAACCAAGAAACTAAAATTCTTAAAGCTACTTCAACTTCACAGGATAAAGGCAAGCATAAGAGCCATATCAAAATGGGTATCTGCTCAGGGAAGCGTGGCTTTAAAAAAACCTTGGTTTGTGCATAAAAACTGTCCAGGGGCAACTTCTTTATGTTATTGGAGGACTAACGAAAGTTAAAAAGCTGAATATTTTTGCCATTCACAATGAACACAACTTAATGATTACAACACAGAAAGGTCAAAAAGCTAATAAGCTCTGTTATATATATTCATGTTAACTAACAAAACCTAATAAATATTTCTAAAATAGCAACATATTTTTGAAGGAAAAGCAGATGGTAAGCCAGAAAGAAAGAATTTATCACCAAATCAAGTTAAATCTTATTTGTAAAAAAATCAGATTAAATAAGTTAGGATACTATGAAACTAGTATTATTGTTGTGCTAAAATGTTGTTATTTGCAGACAATCCAACAGAATAAATAGACACAGTTATTTGAGGTGTGTAATATAATGTTTTCCAAGCTGCCAAAGCATTCATTTCCCTCAAAAAAACATTTTCACTTGATACATACAGAATGATTTTAACTCATGTAAAAGAATATTCTATGGAGAGTGAGATCTGCATAACTGGTCCTAAAATATTCCTGCTTACACTTTAGGCAATGACAGATCAGATTTCTTTGTAACAATTTTCTACAATTACATGTGAAACACTCACAAACTTGTCTTGCAAAGTTTGCAGTTCAAATACGTTTAAATAGCAAATTACTTATTAACATCTTCAGCAAATGCATTACAGTGCATTTTTTCCTTATCCAAACTGTCCCAGCTCGGACACTATCTGTATTTAGGATTTAGAACGAACTCATTTAATGAGATGCCTGAGTATTTAAAAATTTAAAAGTATGCCTGAAATATTAGAAGGGTCTACCTTCTTTGGGAAAAGGAAAAAAAAAAAAATCAGAGTGCAACAGAATTTCTGGTTTTGATTGCGAACAGCAATTTGTGTTTGGACTGCTGCATAATCAGCTTCTCAAACAATGCCCACAGTGACCCCCTCTGCCCCTCCACCCCACCCCAATTCCAAGTTTTACTAATCCCGTCAAAAAGCGAATTACTTTTTTTTTTCAGCTTTATCTGAGAGGCTAGATAAAAAGTTAGCAGTGGTCCAGAATTAGCTTCTTAAAGCTAAAAAGCAATTCAGTCACATCTACAATGCTAGCAAATATATCTGCTTAGCAAAACCACCATTTGATGTCAATAGTTCATTTGAGAAGTTCCTGCTCCAAGCAAGTCTGGATACAGAAGCTGGACAAACAATTGGGCTCTAAGGAAAAAAGTCACTACTGTAATAAAAATGTAAACAAAGAAAATCACCATTCAGGAGACCTCAGGAGAACGAAGTTATTTAGATGTAACCTGAACAAGGTTAAAGTGAAAGAGAAGGATTCATACAAATTCTTGGCAGTGAAGAAAGCAACATTTTGCAGTGCGTGAAAAGGGGGCATATTATACAATTAGTCAGGCGTAACAAAATACCTTTATGCTGTCCAGAGTCTGCATTGAAATTCATTTGTCCTTGCAGCTGATTGTTATCGGTGTCTGCCGAGTGTTGACCATGTGGATCATTGTGAAGGATATGAGGCTGGATCTTAATCTGTTCTTCTAGTATAATGCTAAACAGAAGATAGCATACAAAAAATCCTATTGCTGATCCAAAAGTGAAGGTTAGAAGGTTCATCAAAGACTTGGAAGAGGCCATCTCCTGAAGGTAATACACTGTCAAAAACAAATGAAAAATATATTAAGCTTAAAGCCACTTAACACAGAAATCAAATCTAAAACTATAGGAAGAAATCAAGGACTAAATCTCTGGAAGTAGAGATCTCAGTTCCAGCTCAGATTCAGCTCCCCTGGACTTGCATGGAAGTTTAAGTACAACAGCAATGCAAATATTCATATAATACTGTACAACCGTTGATAAATTTACTGCAAAAGACCTACCATATATTCTTTAGCTTAAAATTATAAAGGACAGTCATAAATCACAATAGTGACTACACATACAAAAAACATTCATTATATTTATACAATATTTATACAAGAACGTATACATTTAAAGTGCAATATCTTCATTATAAAATTGTAATATATGTTCACTTCTTTATTCTCTTCATCCCAAGAAATCTGTGCTTTAAAATGTAATACCTAAGTCTTTTACGAAGCTAAAAGATGATGATCAAAGGCAATCTACAAGTCAAGATACAATACGGTCATGAGATGTACTTAAACTCCAGGAGTAAGTATACTACAGGAATTCTTTAACAGATGTCAAAGCAGATTTTGAAGGGTTATAAAAGTAAATCTACTCTCAAAGTAGGGCAGTTTTTCTTCCACTTTTAGGAAGTACTGAGGGTAGACTTTCAGAAGAAAGAGTAAGACAATATCTGAATTTTCATAGAGAAACACCCATTTTTAAAAGGCGTTTGGAGGAATAGGAGAAGAAAACACATCAGCCTCAGGGCCTCTTCTACACACCAAAAACCTTGTATTCCAGTAATAAAAAAACCCTTCACTTCAGCCACACCCTTGCTCCTCAAAAACTAAAGGACTTGGCTGACCATTTTTACAAAATTAAACAAAACCAGCATCTACGCCTGCATAAAGTGAGCTTTATATGTCCGAAACAAGTGTGAATTTTTATATATTCAACACTTCCAAACCAATTCCAGGTTGTTGAGGCCTGAGGCCTTTTCATCTTTGCAAAGGGTTGAGACATTTTCTAATAATTCGTGACTAAACTACAAAAACATTGACTGTTAAATACATACTGAATTGAAGCCAGTGCCTTACAAACAAGTTGATGATGTTCCCTCCATTAGGATCACTCTTAATGTCAACGGGCAGAACCCAGTTTAGTTAGTCAGGGAGCCAAAAAAAGAAAGTTATGGAATGTACAGAGCATCGATGAAAACCATTGATCGCAAAAGAGCTGCAGCCACCAGAACAACTCATTTAGCCTGCACCCACTTCTCTCATTGGCTGTGCAGCGTCTACTGGAACAAGACTGTCCCCAAGCAAGCTGCATGAATCACTTTGCAGCAACACGCGCTACAAATACCAGCTTTCTGTCTGTCAGAGTGCTCTCCTGAAGGGAAAGCAGAGAGGACAGAAAGCAAGTGTGCAAATTGTTAGGCTGGCACTTTCAGAAATTATCAGATTTACTGCACACATGCAGATCTAGATCATTTGAGAGCGAAGAAGCTCTAACATGCGATATGTTTTTCTTTCCACACTGCTAGAAAAAGGAAAGACAATTGGAAATGCAACTTGAAGCACAAAATAAAAATCAAGAAACTTAAAGGTTGTATCAAATTCACATAATTATAACTGTGGTTGATAAGGAGCTGTAGCTCTTTAATATGAAAAAGCACATTATACAATTTTTTAATCATATGTTGTCTTCCCTCAGTTCAGTACTACATCTTGGTGGAGACTAAAGATTGCCTTTAGACATCACATCTTAAAAGTATAAAATTGACTGTATTATCATTTGTGACCCAGGCCTTGAAAAAATGATGTGGCTTCCAGCTTTATTTCTATTGTCTTATATGCCACTAACTTGGGAGGAAAACATAAGGACTTAGATCAGATGCCTTCCACAAAAAAAAAAAAAAAAAGCAAAAAGCAAAACATTTAAGAAAAAGCCTATACGCACAAGCAGCCTATGACGTTGAAAAGTATCCACTGTACTAAAATCTTTTGGTTTGTTTTCACTTTCCCCATCTATCACCACAAAGTCCCCTCAAAACTTGCAATACGCAAAGGGAGAAGGCCAGAATAAAACAATGCCTTCCTTCAGCATATTAAAAGGGGAAAAAAATAAAAATCCATGCATGCACACAACATAGCTACAGCACTTTCTAGAAGAAAAAGTCTCCATTGTTCCACTTTTCAATATTAGGTGTCTCTTTGCCATACAATTTCAGTTACCTGCTCTAACAGCTGTCAAAATTACTCTTGCTTGGAGAGAAAAAAAGAAAATAACTTGAAAATAATTGCTGCTTATTAAACTATGGAATTATGTTAAATTAGATTCTTTAGAAAAAAACTTTAAGTGTATTGGAAATGTTAAATATTAAAAATGCATTCATCACATTTGGAAATCAGAAGTTGATTTGGCAGTATTCCACAAGCAAAGATGACTTCTAGGAGCAGGTAGGGACAGATGCTGAAGCTGTACTTCATATTCGATATGAAATGCCTCTAGTTACAGTTTTCAATCTAAAATAATCTGTTCATCGTGCTATCAATTTTATATCAACAGACTGGACCACTATATACGTGTGTGTATCCATATGTTTAGAAACTCCAACAGTAAACAGGACAGAAATCTTCATTTTTTATATTATCTTGATATTTGACTTAAGTTGAGTCTTTTAACTTGCCAGCAAAAATAACTGAATGCTATAGCATTAGACTAGAACCAGAAAATGTCTAAAAGGAAGGTCAGTTCTTATTATGATAAGCATCCCCACTCAGACTCTTTGTTGACATTCTTTTCTATGCAGGGATTTATTCAGGGGCAAGACATGCAAAACATTTAAGTGTTCAAGGTCAGGCTGGAGGGGGCTTTGAGCAACCTGATCTAATGAAAGATGCCCCTGCTCATGGCAGGGAGTTGGACTAGATGATCTTTAAAGGTCCCTTCCAACCCAAACCATTCTGTGATGCTGTGATTCTATGACATACAGAGAGGGAAAAGGTAAGTGCAAAACCTACCAGGTCAGTAAAAGATCCCCATTTTTATTTCTATTTCTATTTTTACTTCTCTTGAGTTAATAAACAGACACTATTTAAAAAACCACCTACAACAAAAGCCTAGGTTTAAATTTAATTTATGCTCCACTGCTCTATTATGGCAGCTTAAACAAATATATCTATTTGGAGGATATATTAAACAAGGATATATTAAACAAATATATCTATTCATGTAGGTAGCCCTATTGACATCAACCAGACCAATAAATGTTTTAAAATTCTACCACAACACTCATTGTAGATTTAGCTCCAAATTTAAGTTTTGTGAGTCAACGATTTCTGCACCTTCAAACTTACACAAAAAGTATTTTTTCTGTGTTACAGGCTGAAGACCCTGGCAGTCCAATGGAGACAAGGCTGCTGCAACTCCATGTCCCCAGGTCCAGCCAGTGACAAGGCTGAGGATGTATTTCCATACTTGCACATGCAAACATGAATATATACACATGGCTGACCATACAGATCAACACAGCTAAAAACAGTGTTCATGCAAACACAAACATGGTCTGGCCTAATGCTGCTCCTCTCCCTAGCTGACCAGGACAAAAGTCCGTTAGTGGGGAATATACACATACATGCAATGTGGATCCCTCCAGTAACCGGTCTCAGACACTCAATCTATCCAGACACCAACCCTGAAACCTCAGCCTCCCTAGAGCCCCACTCCAGTTGCTCATACAGACCTCCTCACCCAGATACACACACACACGGCTCCCCACAGGCATACCATGATCCCCCATGGCCTTAGACATTCAGTCCACTCAGTAATTGGCCCTTGGATCATTTTGTCTCCAGTTGCCTTGCTCAGAGACACACATGCAAATGAGCCTCCAGAACAACCCCCAGATCTTACAGTCTCTCCAGTAGCTGGCCTGGACCTCCTGGACTCTCATATTGCCAAATTTAAGACCCTCTAATCTCACTAGTACCTGTCCCACACTTACAACTGCCTCAAAACCTGGTTCCCAAGCCTCTTCTCCTACTCACTGGCTAGCCCTGCGTGATAACTGGCAACCACACACTGACACACTTGTCAAGACAACACGCCTGCACTCCAGTCTTCCCAGTTACTGGCAGTCCAGACACACAAGCCTCTATGACTTACGGTCTCCACTCCAGTTGCTGGCATTTAGACCCTCACTCACTCCACTCTCCAGTTGCTGGCACAGCAGACACAGAGGTCCCTATAACTTATGGTACCACTCCAGTTGCCGGCACTTAGACCTCTGTATGCACACATGAATATAGCACAGAGTCCCCTCACCCAGGAAAAGTTAGAAATGGAGCTTAATGAGAAAAGAGGACAGGCTGTGGTAGTCTGGCACAGGGCATGGCCAAACATACCGACCAGCCACTTGTTTACAATTGACCAGGCCCTTTATCCCCTTATCACTCTATTTTCCCGTACTTGTTCCTCCTCAAACCACCCTGTTCCCTCCCTTTAGTCCCTCCCCTAAGCATCCCATAATAAGTTTTGTACATT